GAATAAAGGAAGGACAGGAGAGACCTAACCTGAGTAACCTTGGAAAGCAGTATTTTAAATGGATACTGTAAGACCAGAGACAAAAAAAAAACTATACACTAATACTGTACTCTGTTTAGTAAATTTGTTTCTCAATGGAATATAGGTTGGCAATTCTGTTAACATTACAAAAGAATGGGAGAAGTTTAGACTGAACCTTGTGGTATAGTATTAGAATCCATTCTCTATATGGTTACATAGTGTTTAGTATATATAGATAAATATGGAAATAGAAATAAAAGTGTGTATGCTTGGATTAGTATAGAGGAGTTCATCCCACCCTTGTATGCAGTTTCAGTTATTCATGGTCAACTGCAATCTAGAAGCAGATGGTCCTCCTCTTGACCTAACATTAGAAGGTCAGTAGTTGCCTAAGGCTACATCACAGTGCCTACTCCACTCACCTCCCTTCATCTCATCATGTAAACATTTATCATCCCATATCATCACAAGAAGTAAAAGGGTGGGGGCGCCTGGATGGCTCAGTGGGTTAACGCCTCTGCCTTCTGCTCAGGTCATGATCCCAGGGTCCTCGAATCTAGCCCTGCATCAGGCTCTCTGCTCAGCAGGGAACCTGCTTCCCACTCTCTGTCTGCCTGCCTCTCTGCCTACTTGTGATCTCTCTCTCTGTGTCAAATAAATAAAATCTTAAAAAAATAAAAAGTATAAGGGTGAGTACAGTTCAGTAAGATATTTTGAAAGAGAGATCACGTTCACATAACTTTTAATACAGTATATTATAATTGTTCTATTTTAATTTTGTTAAGCTCTTACTGTGCCTAATTTATAAATTAAACCTTATCATATGTATAGGAAAAAATATATATATGTTTTAGAACTATTTGCAATTTCAGGCATCCACGGGGAATCTTGGAACATATCTCCTGCAGATAAGGAGAGACTGCTGTACATACATGTATTCCTAGTTCTTCCTGCTAGGAGGGCCAAGAGCAATGACATCCTAATGGTAATCAGCACACCTAGCACCCAGATTTCTAAATGGTTTTTAAGTACCATTTCCAGTAAAGGAACCAGGGCTATTTGGGGGAAAAAAAGTAGATTCCAGGGCTGGAACAAGGAAAATGTCAGATGATACCATCTTGTGATACCAGAAACTATAAAAGTGCTCACAAAAGGTTAGGGTATGTCAAGAGGATACAGGGGCCAACCTGATAAGATTTCCAATGGCCAGAGTAAGATCAATTGGAGCAACAAAATAAATAATGATAGTGTTGGATTATAACCTTTAGAATAAAATAAATACCCATGAGCCTGTACTGATACAAATTAAACATATAAATATGTGGGAGAGGAGGAATCACTCTTCCTTACAGAAGAATTCCAGTTATTAAATGTATAGAAAACGAGGGAAATACAAAATCGCTATTAGATAAGCACCACAGGAGCGCCTGGGTGGCTCAGTGGGTTAAAGCCTCTGCTTTCGGTTCGGGTCATGGTCCCAGGGTCCTGGGATCGAGCCCCACATCGGCCTCTGTGCTCAGCGGGGAGTCTGCTTCCACCCCACCCCACCTGCCTCTCTGCCTGCTTGTGATCTCTGTCAAATAAATAAATAAAATCTTAAAAAAAAAAAAAAAGATAAGCACCACAATATGAATATTACAATCAGGTTCCATAGATGGCTGCTAAAATTGGGGCATCTGGGTGACTCAGTCAGTTAAGCATCTGCCTTCAGTTCAGGTCATGCTCCCAGAGTCCTGGGATTGAGCCCTGCATCAAGCTCCCTGCTAAGTAGGGAGTCTTCTTCTGCCTGCTTGTGCTACCTCTCTTTCTCTCTCTCTCTCAAGTAAATAAAATCTTTTTTAAAAAGTGACTGCTGAAATCGGTGGGCAAAAATTTGCAGAGAAACAGAATTTTGGCAGTCTTAAAGTATATCCCCCCACAATATTTATTAATTATTAAGGGAGAATAATAACTGTATGGTGAAGAACCCAGAAGTTGCCATTTCAGCCAAGTGTGATCAGACTTAACTCTACAAGATATAAGATATACCGACATCACATAGTCTTGTATGACTGTAAAGCGCATAATACCACTTATGTGGTATAACTGCCGAAAATGTATAATCTTAATCTAATCATGAGGAAACATCAGGCCAAACCATGTTGAAAAGGTCTACAGAATAACTGACTAGAACAAATTAAGAGTATCAGAATCATGAGGGGTGCCTGGGTGACTCAGTTGGTTATCCATCTGACTCTTGATTTCAGGGTCGTGAGATCAAGCCTTGCATCAGGCTCTATGCTGAGCATGAAGCCTGCTTAGGTCTCTCTCTCTCTCTCCCCCCATTTATGCTCTCTCTCTCTCTCTCAAAAAAAAAAGTGTATTTTAGGATTATGAAGTACAAGACTGAGGAACTGTCGAAGATTGGGTGAAACCAATGAGGCACAAGAGCTAAATGCATCAACAAAAGGCAACCTATAGAATGGGAGAAGATATTTGCAAATGACTTATCAGATAAAGGGCAGGTATCCAAAACGTATAAAGAACTTAGTAGTCTCAACACCCAAAAAACAAAAAATCCAGTCAAGAAATGTGCAGAAGACATAAATAGACATTTCTCCAAAGAAGACATACAAATGGCTAACAGACACATGAAAAAATGCCCAACATCACTCCTCCTAAGAGAAATACAAATCAAAACCACAATGAGAAACCACCTCATACTGGTCAAATGGTTAAAACTAATAACTCACTAAACAACAGATGTTGGTGGGGATATGGAGAAAGGGGAGCCCTCTTACACTGTTGGTGGGAATGCAATTTGGTACCACCACTCTGGAAAATAGTATGGAGGATCCTTAAAAAGTTAAAAATAGAACTACCCTATGACCCAGCAATTGCACTACTAAGTATCCATCCAAAGGATACAAAAATACTGATTCAAAGGGGGCACATGCACCCCAATGTTTATACCGGCAATGTCCACAGTAGTCAAAATAGAGCCCAGATGTCCATCGACCGGTGAATGGATAAAGAAGAAATGGTCTATATATACACGATGAAATACTACTCAGCCATCAAAAAGAATGAAATCTTGCCTTTTGCAATGACATGGATGGAACTAGAGGGTATTGTGCTAAGCAAAATAAGTCAGATAAAGACAGGTACCATATGATTTCACTCACATGTGGAATTTAAGAACCAAAACAGATGAACATAGGGGAAGGGAAATTAAAATAGGATAAAAACAGGGAGGCAAATCATAAGAGACTCTTTAATTATAGGAAACAAACAGGGTTGCTCAAGGGGGGAGGATGGGAGGTAACTGGGTGATTGTCATTAAGGAAAACACTTGTAATGAGCGCTAGGTGTTATATACAACTGATGAATCACTAAATTCTGCCCCTGAAACTAATAATACACTATATGTTAACTAAATATAATTTAAGTTAAAACAATTTTTAAAAAAGAACTAAATGTGGTGTAGAATCCTGGAACAGAAAAAGACACTAAGAGAAAAGCGGGTAACATTTGAATGATGTCTGTAGGTTTACTATTGTGTCAGTGTTTACTTCCTGGTTTTGATCATTGTACTATTTTTGTAAGTTGTTTGTAAGTTGTTACCATTATGGGAGAAGGGCATAGAAAATCTCTAATATTTTTGTAACTTTCCCATAAGTCTAAAATTATTTCCAAATAAAAGGTTAAATAGTAGGTCCATTGGTTTGAGACTACATTGGTAGATATGGACAGTTAACTGTTCTGAAGAATCAAAGGAAAGAGGTATAACTGATGTCTGCCCATTTACAACTAACCAGTTAATAGCTTATATCCATATTGCCATTGCTGTTGCCTCTGGTTATTAAATTAACTGTAATTATTTCCAGTAGTTTCTCTAGGCTCATTCAAAGTGCTCTAAAAATCTAATTAGAGGGGTCCCTGGGTTGCTCAGTGGGTTGAGCCTCTGCCTTCAGCTCCGGTCATGATCTCAAGGTCCTGGGATCAAGCCCCGGGTCAGGCTTTCTGCTCAGCGGGGAGCCTGCTTCCCCCGCCACCTCGCTCTCTCTCTGCCTGCCTCTCTGCCTACTTGTGATCTCTCTCTGTCAAATAAATAAAATCTTTTTTAAAAATCTAATTAGAAAATAAAAATGGTATTTCAGGGTTTTAATATTCTAATAGTCTTCCATGAGAATAAAATAGCAGATTTTAAAATAAAAATAAAATCCTAAATTGAAAATAGATTTGTCCACACAGCTATTTTGAAGGACATTAGCTGACTCCCACAATTTAACAGATTTCAAACTTAGCTACATGGCTATTTTTTTCCCTCAGAAACTTCCCATATCTCTAGGTTAAGAAAGAATCATTGTAGTTGGCTTATATCTTACCATCTTTTCTGTGTAAATTTCTCTTAACAACCCCTACCCCAGAATCTGTAGGGTGAGTTTCCCTGACATGCCTTGACATGTTAAAATTACTATACATACCCCTAAGACATATTCACAAATCACCAAATAATAGCTAAATTAAAATTTTTATGCTTTATTAAAGTATGCTAGCATATCAAAAGCACACCTTAGTATGCTTGTAATAAAATTTTAATGTAATAAAGTGTTAAATTTTATTTTTTTTATTTTTATTTTTTTAAGATTTTATTTATTTATTTATTTGTCAGACGGAGATCACAAATAGGCAGAGAAGCAGGCAGAGAGAGAGGAGGAAGAAGCAGGCTCCCTGCTGAGCAGAGAGCCCAATGCGGGGCTCGATCCCCGGACCCTGGGACCACGACCTGAGCCGAAGGCAGCCACCCAGCCACCGAGCCACCCAGGCGCCCCTAAAGTGTTAAATTTTAAATGTACTGTTCAGTATTCTATAAAGAGCAGGTTTGCTCAACTGGCTACTTATTCTACAGGAAGGGAAAATTCTGTTCAAGTGTTAGTTTTTTTTATTTTGCTCTTTGGTATGCTTGTTTATTTAGTTTTGGTTTTAATCTTCTTCAGGATGTTGTGGATACACACCCTGGCCTCACGTTCCTGAAAGATGCTCCAGAATTCCACTCCCGCTATATCACCACGGTAAGCTGAGTCTTCTTTTTTCTTAATAGAGATCTATAAGTCTCCTTTGTGCAGGCTTTCAGATATCTATGCAAAAGGTAACCTGAGCTATAATGATTATTTTGAGTGGGAGGAAGGTACAATAAAATTGAATTAGTTATTTGTATCTACTTTCCTTCTTATTATGTACCAGTGTATACAGAATTAGAGTAATATATTCATTCTGTCTGGTCTTGTGAGGTACACTCTTTGCTTTGTTATTAATATTGATACCCAGTTGATATTGAGCATTTACAAACAGCCTTTCCCAGAAAAAGATGTGTCTTTCTCAGAAAATGATGTGTCTCAAATTTAGAACTAGAAATGGTAATGAGAAATAGCTTATATATAATCAGAAAAAAAAGAATTTATCATAGCATAATCACACTCTCCCATTTTGTGAGGTGCTCCTGGCCTCCTTTGACCAGTCACAGTCAAGGCATGAAGTCAGAGCACACCAGCCTGCGGTGCACATTGCAGCCGTGTCCAGCATTCTTTGTCCTAGCTCCCAGATTATCTCTGAGCCCCAAGACAAACCCCTCCATCACAGCCACACTCAAGTGAGTTGCCCTTGCGTCTGGCTCACACCCCCCCAGTAAGATTACAGGGCGATCACCTCTGAGAAAAATCCTCTCATTCTTAGAGTACTTTTTGTTGGCTGTGAATTTATTGGATTCTGTCAAGTTACAGAATACTACCATTCTTTTTCTCCTTTCAGAACTTCATTCTTGGCTTTTACATTGGCTCTCTGTTGTAAAACTTTGTAAGTCTTTCTTTGAGCCAGAAGGTGTCACTGTCTTCTAAGACTATCTCAGAAGTTATTTTTTTGCCTGTGAAGCATACCACTACTATTGTGAAGTGCTGCCACAGTCACCCTGGTGCAGTCACCCTTGTTTCTCACTTGGATTACTTCTACTTGGTCTCCCTGCTTACACCTTCATTGCCCTACAGTGGTCTCCACAAAGCAGAGTAATCCTTTGAAAATGTTAGTCAGTTCATGTCACTCCTCTGTTCAAACCCTCCAGTGGCTTCCCATCTTGAACTCAGAGGAAAAGCCAGAGTCCTTGGTAAGACTCCCCATAATACACACACACACACACACACACACACACCACCGCCCCCCTTACAACCTCTGCGGCTCTCGTCTCTCCTGTTACCCTGCCCCTCACTTACTGTGCTTTGCTCACAACTGCATCCTCTCTGTTACTGGAACAGACTAACTCCACTTCTGTCTCAGGTGCTTTTCACTTCTTTCCTCTCCCTGAAATGCTCTCTGCAGATATCCACATGACTTCTTCCTTTATTTACTTCATTCCAACTATGCATTCAGAAATTCCCTTTTTAGTGAGGCCTTCCCTAAACACCCTTTACCTTCTTCATCCTTCTTCTCCTTCTGTCCCCTCCCCCTACACTCTCTATTCATTTGTTCTACCTTATTTTTCTTCTCAGATTTTATATCATTTAATATTTTAAAGCTTAAAATCTCCTTCTCTATGTTAGAAACTCCACTGAAGCAGGGAATTTGTCTATGTTTTTCACTACAGTATCTCCAATACCTAGAATGGTGCCTAGCGCATATTAGATAAACAGTATGTATTGAATAAATAAATGAAATTATCCATGCTTAAGAATCCTACACATTAACTCTGGCTTAAATTCAATAGGGAATCACTGGGTTCTGATTGTTGATTGTTCTGTAAACTCAGGGCATGTTAATAGCATAATTGAAAATCTTAAGAGCTAGAAAAGATCTTAGAGATAATCCAGCCCAACCTTCTACGAATTCAGAAAATACTCTCTGTAGAGGAACTTTTTATTGGAATTTATTCTTAGAAAAAATGTTAAATAACAGAGTTGTAAAATAGAGATAAATTTTCTTTCTCTACACTTTTTATTTGAAGTACGGTGGACCCATGATGGTCTGTGTCATCTAGCAAGTGGTCCCCAGGAATTTGTAATTTCAGGGTGAAAAGCCATGAAACAATTTTGTTCACATATAATTCACATTTTCCTAGAAATTCTGTTATGTTAATCATTAAAGAGAACTAAATTGGTCAATTAACAGGATATAATTAATTATCTCTGCTAACATATATTCATGGTGTTTGCATATTATTTATATTTTTAAAACTCATACTCTGTTATTATTATGCTGTTTTATCCTCAATTCACAAAAATAAATCCATTACTCAGAAATAATTACTAAATTGTAAAATACTTGGAATGAAATATTGATAATAGGGCAATTCAGAATAGCATCGTAACATAAATAGTAAACAAGATCCCATTGAGAATATAGAATGTGAATCTCTGTGTATTAAGATAAGTGTATCTATTGTGATAACCTCATAGTACCACCTGAAGAAGGAAAGTGCAAATAAAAAGTATTACATGAATATCTGGAAATAGGATTTTTTTTTAAAGGACTGGTTATCTTTTCTCCCTATTGCCTCTTCTGTTGTGAAATCTGGTCAAATAATAGTATGAAGTCATTGGAACTTGTGCATTACTTCAGAGTACAGTTTTTCTAGAATAAATCAAAATAAGTTTTCTAGTATGAAATTAATGAATGTTGTTAATGGCGTAAAAGCGAATGACAGAGGCATCATTCTCTATCTTGTTCAGAGCAAAAACTGATAAGTTCACACTTTCTTAGAAACTTAGCCTCAGAATTAAAGATAAATATCTCAGAAAAAGCAAAATTAATTAGTCATTTGACCCAATCAATGTTATATAATCTCAGTGGCATGTAGTATAAAACAATGCATTTTTTTTATTGGCATGCTAGAGTTTTTTTATCAATTTCACTTTAGTCGGAAGAAACTACTGACACAAAGGATGACTCAAATACTAGTTTTAGTGTGGCACTCATATGGTGAAAAGTTGGGCAACTTTTATTTTCTGTTTATCACTGGAAAACCTATGCCATAGGAAAAGACTTTTCATTTGTTTGTTTAGTTAATTATTTTGTCAGCTATTTCCAGACTGGAAAGACAGAGCCCCAGCTATGCATACAGCAAAAAGAATATCACTACCCATATAAGAGAATGCACCTAAAGTTACACCATATTCTCCTTTATTTCCAGAGACAAGTTGGCATTTAAGAAATAAGTCTCTTGATACTGAATGAAAATGAAAATTGGAAATACTAACAAATTATAGCCCTTGAATTTGCAGTTTTGCATGCTGTGTAAAGAAATTACCAGTGAATAAAAGACTGCTTATTCTAGCTGGCATATGCTGACTTTTTTGAGGAAAGGGTTGCTCACGTGAGTTTTTAAAATAAACAATGAGATTGAAAATACTTCTTTGTGACACTGGTAATGGCAGCAAAGACATTTCTCTGGCGTGCTCAGATGGTATCTTAGTGATAGCTTCAGTGTCTTCATTGGCCTGAAGCCATCACTTTAGGCTGAAATGCCAGGATTTTAATTGTTGAGGACAAGGTACTGATATTTCTTGAGATGACTAAACTGTGGTGGAGACTGCTCATCACCAACAGCTTGGCTCTTTCCCCTTGAGAACTTTTCCTCTTGATAGAGAAAGGAGGAAATTTGTATTAGATAGATTTTTTTTTTTAAGTCCAAATTCTGCAGAGGACCATGGAAAAATACTTTTTGGAGCCATACTAACCAGAGGGGAACAAGGATCTTTTTACCACTCCCTGCCAGGTAGAAGAACGATGCTTCCAGCATTTGAGAATGTTCATCTGCGTAAATTACCTACAATGAGCCGTCTCTGTAATTTTTGTGTCCACATCCACTCCACTTGTCAAAACTTGTCTGACAGCTACCAAACACTTGCTCAAATTTCTGGTGACCTACACTTGTGGATTAGAGGTTTCCAATTAAGTAGTTAGAAGGAAAAAGAAAGGAAACTAATTTAAAATTCAGACTATCAAGGTGACGAGAGATCCCTTGGTAAAAAATTATCAAATTTCGTTCCACTCATTGGTATTAAACAATTACTCTTACTATTAACAATTCTTTTAAAAAAATTTGCTATTCAAAAACTGGGATTAATTTCTTTTTTATTTACCTAAAAGTAGTAGAACAAAATTAGGGGGAACAATCAAGGGTAGATGTAGAACCAAGCAGCCACATGTTCTCACCACTAGATGGTGCCCCTACTTCAGTAAGCTAAAATGCTGACTCAGTAATGTGGATACCAATAAATGTGCTGATGAAGTGGGGCTACTGAATAGATTTAGACTATGGAAAAATGGACTACAAGTACATTTTTTCATATTATTAGATAAGTAAGTTAGCAGAGGCTAAAAGTAGAAAACGTTTAACAGTCAAAACATTTGTGAATTTTAAAAATTCTGTCAAAAAAACAAAAAATGAATAACAAAATAAGCAAAAATAAATACAGATCAACGCTGTATCATTTTAAGTGTAATACGGTACCTCCATAAATAATATAAAATATTTGAGGCATATATAAATATAAAATTTTGGTAGATAGGAAACTTAGATTTTAGATAAATTTATATTTAAAATCAAATACTAAGGGTAAAAATATAATCATATTCAACATAGAAAATTTTGGTGTAATGATATGTTTTGAAATTGACTTTACTTGAGAGAGGAGCCATGGAACTATGATAAATGGTATTCTTACTGTTTATTTTCATATATGTAATTTCTGTGCTAAAATTCCTCCATCTTTATTATATGAACTTTGATTAAGGAGGACACGTGAGGTAATGAGCACTGGGTATTATATAAGACTGATGAATCACTAACTTCTACCATACAAATTAATTGTATGTTAATTAATTGGATTTAAATTTAAAAAATAAAATTTAAAAATTTCTGAAACCAATAACACACTATATGTTAATTGGATTTAAGTTTTAAAAAAAAAGAATACACTGTTGAGTAAGATACTATGGGTTTGAACTGCATGGACCTCTTATATGCAAATTTTTATAGCACTGTAAATATTTTCTCTTCCTTATGATTTTCTTAATATTTTCTTTTCTCTAGCTTACTTTATTATAAGAATACAGTATATATAGTACATATATAATATACAAAATATGTGTTAATCAACTGTTTACATAATTGGTAAGGCTTCCAGTCAACAGTAAGCTATTAGTAGTTAAGTTTGGGGGAGTCAAGTTATAGTGGATTTTCAACTGTACATGGCTGGGGGTTGGTAGCCCTAGCCCATGAAATCTTGTCATTTGCAACAACACTGATTGACTTTGAAGACATTATGCTAAATGAAATAAGTCAGAGACAAATACTACATGATCTCTCTCATATGTAGAATCTTAAAAAATAAAACCAAGATAAAGAAAACAGATTGGTGATTGCCAGAGGCAAAATGGGTGAAGAGGGAGTCAAAAGGTATAAACTTCCAGTTATAGAATAAGTAATAATGGGGACATAAAGTAGAACATGGTAACTGTAGTTAATACTATATATACTATGTATAATTAATACCACATATAATGTAGTAATATAAATATATTGTGCATTTGGAAGTTGCTAAGAGCGTAAATCTTAAAAGTTCTCATCACAAGAAAAAAAATTCCATAACTCTGTATGGTGGCAGATGTTAAGGGGACTTTCTGCAGTGATTATTTTGCAATATGTACAAATATCAAATCATGTCTTACACCAAAAAGTGATATAATGTATATCAGTTATTCCTCAAATAAAAAAGTATATCAAACAATTGTTAACCATCTGATACGCAGAGCGCCATATCAAGTACTGGGTTGCAAGTCAAGAAAGATCTGGTACCCTGGAGTTTGGAGGTGATGATGGTCAAGTTGCACCAGTGTTTAGAATAACCCCATAGGATGAACTGAAGGAGACTCACATGACAATTGAAGCACAGAAGACAGAGGTCTACCCCAGTCCCTGTTCTGACGCTTCCTGTGGAGTTAGCAGTTGAGCTAGATTCTGAAGAGTCAGGAATTAGCACTACTATAGGATATGGAAAACTGGGCAGTGGAAATCTGGGCCATCATTCTGAGGATGTGTTTTCCCTGCTCTGTTTGAGAATCACTTTCTTTGCTAAGGAATCCAGAAGAGGAATGGTGGTTTAGTCCCTCATTAGGCCTACTCTTTGGAGAGATGTCCAAATGTTTTCCCTTTTTTGTTCTTGCCCTAAAATAACTTTTAAAAAGATCTAACCTATTCCATGATAAAACCACCAAGGATACAGGAATTCTATTAGATAATCAAAATCAAAGGCAAAGTGTCAAAAAAAAAAAAAAAAGCTGCTTATGATGAGCACTTGTTGTTATATATAAGTGATCAATCACTAAATTCTGCTCCTGAAACCGGTATTACCCTATATGTTAACTAACTAGAATTTAAATAAAACCTTGAAACCAAAAAGATATAATGCTTCATTTTGGAAGAAAAAAAAAACAAAACTAGTGGGTCATAGGGAAATTAAATGTGTAGGCATAACCCCAGGTAAAACTGACTACACTGTGGCCTCCTCCCTCCAGGATAGCAGCCTTGTCTTCCTTCTCCAATCCTCCACTACACCACAACAAACATGTCATCAATCTCAGACACATTTGCTACCCATTCCCACCTCTCTCATCCTGTCCAGGGTCTTCTCCAGAGTTTCACATCTGTTATTAAACTCTTTAAACGCTGGCTAATAACAAAATTGCTCATGCCCAAGTAAGGACTCAGTATTAGAGTTATCACAGATGTATTTGAGTTTCCAGAAAGAGTCTGGAAGACAAGAAGTCTTTAAGAGTCCAATGAATAAGGCTATAATAACCAGAATAATGCCGTCTTTAATCGTACCATGTTGGCAGCCATTCTTATGACCTATGAATTGTTAAGCCAACCCAGTGTTATTTCCCACCTCATCTGCCTTCCTAAAACATTCAGCCCAATAAACACTGCCTGAATCAGGCATCACTGTATAAGATGAGAGGTAAATAAAGTGACATGTAGGTAGCTGGGAAATGCAGGGCTATGAGCAAAGAGTATCTTTATTCTTGGAATTGTAAGGAATGTGGTGTAGATTTTTAAAATATCATTAGTTTTTATTAGAAATTACACTTGCCTTAATCAGAAAAACAAAACATAGCTTGGTTCAGGAGACATTCGTAAGATGGCCTTTGGTGAAGTAAAACATATCTTCAGTGTTTTTATTTTATTTGTTTCCTTTTGGAACCAGGTTATTCAGAGAATATTCTACACAGTCAACAGATCTTGGAGTGGAAAAATAACTTCGACAGAGATAAGAAAAAGCAACTTTTTGCAAGTATGTCTCTCATTGAAATTCATATATAAAGAACAAGTTAGGGATGCCAAGCTTCTGCCTTCAGGCTGTGATACCAGGGTCCTGGGATCAGTCCACATCAGGCTTCCTGCTCAGCAGGGAGTCTGCTTCTCCCTTGGTCTGCAGGTCTCCCTGCTTGTGCGCTTTCTCTCTTCTCTCTCTCTCACAAATAAAAATTTTTTTTTAATTTAAAAAAAATAAAGAACAAGTTAAATAATATTATTTCATTTTTTTAAATTTTTTAAATTTATTTTCAGCGTAACAGTATTCATTGTTTTTGCACCACACCCAGTGCTCCATGCAATCCGTGAATCCGTGCCCTCTCCAATACCCACCACCTGGTTCCCCCAACCTCCCACCCCCCCCCGCCCCTTCAAAACCCTCAGATTATTTTCAGGGTCCATAGTCTCTCATGGTTCACCTCCCCTTCCAATTTCCCTCAACTCCCTTTTCTCTAACTCCCCTTGTCCTCCATGCTATTTGTTATGCTCCGCAAATCAGTGAAATCATATGATAATTGACTCTCTCTGCTTGACTTATTTAACAAATATTTGAGTGCTTATTGTATACAAAGCACTTTGGCTACTTTCAGTCATGAAGCATTTACCAGATACCTGGGATGTGTTGGGGAGAACAAAGATGAATAACAAGGGATTTTTATATCAAGGTACATGGACTAAAAGAAAAATGTGCAGTCACACCTGACGAAAATTTTTACAGAAATGGGTAACAAATATGCAGGGAAGGCCTCATGGCATGCGGTCTTAATCTTGGAGGGTATCGGAAGTTTATCAAAATAAAAAATTAGAAGGGGATTCCAGATAAAGGGAGCAACATAAGCAAAGCCCCAGAAGCATGAAAGTGTCTACAGTCTAAGAACAGTCTAAAGCAGCCAGTGGCTTTGCGGAGAGTAACCAGTGATACAGCCTCAGGGGTGAGATGGGCTGAGTTAGGAAAGGACTTGCAAAAGGAATAAAGGGGTTGCAACTTGATCCTTTCAGTAACCGCTCTTTATCCAGCTCCTACTAGAGTAGAGAAGAATATTAAAAAGTCCTTTTAAGAAAGAATACTTTCCATTCAATTATTTTATTTATTTTACCAAATAAGAGAGAAAGTGTGTAGACCACTAGTGGGAGCCTTTTACCGAGATAATCCTCATGCCTGATTGTTCAAGCTTCCATTAACCTAAAGAAAGAATTGTTCATACTTGAAAGGAAAAGAAATACTTTATTTTCAATGAATCAAACTAAACGAAGCTTAGGCTAATAATACAACCTTATATACTCTTTATTTTTCCCTGTCTTCATCTGGGACAAAGTAATGAAGACTTGGCAAAATTAGCAGCCTATAATTCATATAAAAACCTTTTTTATTCCAAAATGAATAGTAATTATCCTGCCTCTCTCAGTAGGTAGCATGGGATGGAATGGGTTGAGATGGCAGTAATTCCATAAAAGAGGCCTTCCACCTTAAGAATGGTAATCCCTCATATTCCCGAAGCACATTAGAGTTTGTAACAGTTTCTGGCATTACTGTAATACATATTTTTTAATTGATAAAATTTGAGGTGCAGATATGGTTGAATGACTTAGATAAGATCACACAGCAAGTAAATGGCCAATCTGGAAACAGAACTCAAGTGTTCTTATTAGGGCATCATTTAATTTTTCCCCCTCTTCCCTATTCCTCTCCCACTCTTCGTATTAGTACATTATTCATGAATGTATGCTCATGTTTTATATGCTCATAAAGCATTCAAATAATATGAAAATATCTAGAATAATCAGCAGAAGTCACTGTCTACCTCTTCACCCTACAATTTCATTCTCTTTCCCAGAGGGAACCCATCCATGTTATGGTTTTATTCCCTTATATGTATACATGAAGTAAACAGTTTTATTTTGTATGGCTGCTTTTTTGAGGTGGTTTTTTTTTAAGTATATGAGATAATTTTGTTAATTTGGGTTTTTTTTCCCACTATCAGCATATCTTAACAATCTTTTCATTTCCATGCATATAAATCTTAACTGCCGCATCATCTATGGCATGGCTCTGCCATAACTAAATTACATATTCCCCTACAGAGGATGTTTAAGTTGTTGTCAGGTTTTTCCTATTTGCAATGATGCAGTAAACATCCTTATACTTTCCTTCTGTGTGTACATAGGTAAGAATTCTTCTAGAATAGACTACTGGAGGGGAGATCCTGGATCAAATGGTATATGCATTTTCAGGGGTTTTTTTTTTTTAAGATTTTTTATTTTTAAGTAATCTCTACACCCAAAATGGAACTCAGATGCACAACCCCAAAATCAAGAGTTGCGCGCTCTACCAACTGAGCCAGCCAGTTGCCCCAGTGTGGTTTTCAGTTTGATAGATCCTGCCAACTTAGTCTCTTGAAAACCTGTACTAGTTCATACTTAAAAACACATTCATCAATAGCACAAGTTTTCTGTCTTTTTCATTTTCTGATAATCTAGTAGGGGAAAATGAGAGCTCCTTCTCAAGATTTGTTTTATTGTATGTATTCTCCTTTATACATATTAAAGAGCATTTTATAAAATAAAACATTACAAGCAATGTTTGGAAAACAGAAAAATCATATTTCATCGCCCTAATACAACTAATAGCATTTTTGTCTAGGCTCATATAAATGTGCAGATTTTAGGATTTTACAGAATTCTTATTATGTGTAATCTTAACCCAGATTTTGCATTTACCACATCATGGTTTTCCTTTGTTTCTGTGGAGTCTTTATAATTTTTACTGGCAAGAGAATCTTCCATTAAGACGTTTTACTATAGGGCCCCTGGGTGGCTCAGTGGGTTAAGCTGCTGCCTCCGGCTCAGGTCGTGGTCTCAGGGTCCTGGGATCGAGTCCCGCATCGGGCTCTCTGCTCGGCAGTGAGCCTGCTTCCCTCTCTCTCTCTTTGCCTGTCTCTCTGTCTACTTGTGATCTCTCTCTGTCAAATAAATAAATAAAATCTTAAAAAAAAAAAAAAGACGTTTTACTATAACAGTTTATGTTCTCAACTTGCCAGAATTGGTCTCCCAGTATTTACATTTTGGAACATAATTTATCGTTGAAGCAATTTATTTGCGTTATGAAACAGTCACCTCTCTCCCTTGTAATATTTTTCACCTTGAATTCCATTTTATTTTCCAATAATATTGGCACTTTTTTTTGTTTAGATTTAGCTAGCATATATTTGTACTTCTTTTAAAACCGCCTTTTAAATTTTATTTTAGTGTTATCTCTTACGGATAGCGCATACCTAGATATGTTTTGGGGGGGTGGTTTTTATACTTAATCTGAAAATACTTTAATATGGATACTTAATTCATTTACATTACTGTGACTGTTGATCTGTCTGATCTGATTTCTGCCATCTCATTTTGTTTTTTCTATTTCTGAAGGTTTTTTATGGCTTCTTATATCATTCTTTCTGAATCTTTCATTTCTGAAAACATCTTCATTTGTCTGCCCACTTGTATGATAACTACAAGAATTGTAAGAATTCTGGGTTCAAAATTATTGTTTCTGGTGTTTTCCATAGGGACACTCAGTGAGTCAGGGGAACCCCAGAGTTAATTTCCAGCACAGGACCCTGCAGCTCCATCCCTATGTCTTCTTTGCCAGGCCACCACACATCAGCACGATGCTATGTATAAGTCACCTTCACAGTAAACTTGATCTCATTACAAAGCCAAACCCTATATGTGGATTTCTACTCTACATAATAGAATAGATGCTCACTCTTCATAATTTTAGAAAGTTACAAGCAGTGTCAGTTTATGACCATGTAATTCAGCCTGTTGTCTAATTGTTCTGGCTTGCTACTCTGGGGACCTTTGATGGGCTACGGTCTCCTTGGTAACAGTCCTTCCCTTTCCTTGCTTTTAAATCCTCCACCGCATCTAACCCTTTGCTAAGTGTAATACAGAACTCATAAATGCTTATAGATTGATCACTTGATTAAAGTTTGGAAGAGGTTCCTGGTTTGGTACCCAAACCAAAAATTTTAATTCAATTTAAAATTAAACTTTACTAGACCATATAACGGCCAAAGCTGGTTTTCATAATTTTAAAATAAATTAATCTTTCTCTTCATACTATTTCAGACTCTAGCCCTTTTGGAAGAAGAGGAAGATATAAACCAAATCACAGATTACTTCTCCTATGAACATTTCTACGTTATTTATTGTAAATTCTGGGAACTAGATAGTGATCATGACCTCTACATCAGCCAGGCTGATCTATCTCGATACAATGACCAGGGTAAGTGTTTTATACGTGCTAAAACTTAGCTATTTTGAAAAAGGCAAGAGTTATATGAATTGTTATATGAATGATAAATTCCCATTTCTTAAATTCTTTATCCAATCAAGTCCTCTTTAATGAACCAAGAAATTTTAAGTGGGGGAATGGGTGAAGGTATTAATTTTTTATTTAGAAAGCAAGTATAGGAGAAGGGACTTAGAGTAAGTAAGCAATTAGAGTCTTTGTTTTGATTAATTGCTGAGTCTTTATAGTGATGTTTATTTTCTAATGATGAATAAGATTCATACCTATGTAAAGTTTATTTGAAAGAGAATGTATATATACCCTTATAAATTTCCCATTTTACAGTGTTTATGAATAGCCAAGGATGAAAATGTTTCTAACTTGACATTGTTTTCCAGGAATCATAAAAACTTACTTTTTGGAATTTAGTTCCTGAGTATTTTCCCTGCAGATGAATTTTGTGTGCTTTCTTGTATCAGAAAGCAAAAATATCACATATCACATGATATTACCCCCTTTGCTTCATTTTTACCAGTAGTAAACTTAGAAACTATTACCTGATGATTTACTGTTCTTCACCAAGCACCAAAATACATTGACTTGGTTTTTTTCTCATAAGATTGTCCCTGATCTATTCTTAAATGTCTTCTCAAGCACTGCTGATTTTTTTAAAATCAGCCTTTAGCCTTTTAGATGTAGGAAAGTACAAACCTTAAACAAATGTGTTGAATTTCACTTCTGTTATTTGGTATATCTGTGATTAACCGTTTATATCTTAAGAAAAGGCTCGTTCTATATGATGTCAAGTTTCATAGAACTTTCCATATATAAGAAAGAGTTCTCCCTCTCAATTCTCAGGTCCCAATAAGGTATCAAGAGAAAATACTCATGTGTACTTATTGATAAACAAACAGTACTTGTTTAGTACTCTACCCCCTGGTTCAAGTAGTCGTAATCTTCCTGTCACCAGAATAGCACAAAAATGGAAATATTCACAGGTGTATCAGGTCAGCTTTATTAGCTCTGCACCTTCTAATCACCAGTGACCAGATCATCTGTGTTAACATATGGTCATGCAAAACCTTACAGGCTCTAAAGCATGCTTTCTGGCTGATATACCATAATTCTCACCAAGTCCCAAAATATTGTATATATACACCTAGGCCTGCATGATGAAGGTGTCACTGAGACCACCTAATTGCTGGTGCACCTACCTGTCCTAAATGGGACAGCATGATCTTCAATTTTAGGCTAAACTTAACAAATTTTAAAAAGACCTTTTTTTTTTTTTTAATTAAATCCCATGCCTTTCCTATACAGCTCTCTATTTGTCTATCTAGTACAAATTATTAACCCCGTAAACCAATGTTCAACAAAGTATAGAGGATCCTTATATAAGCTTTTTGGCCAGACATGGCTCTTCTGACCCCCATATTCCTAACATCTTCAGCCAAACTAATTTTACCTTGGACTGACTCTAACTAACTCTACCTAACTCTGTGCAGAAGAATTAGATGCTGGTAGCTACTAACTCTCTAATGACTCATCCCTTGTTTTGAAATTGTAGTATACATGCCATTGCCTGGGGCACTTAAAAGAAAGATTCCTGTCCTTACCAAATCCATGGGTCTGAGCTGTACTGGCATATCCTTTTAGTTAAAAGTAAAGCCTTTGGTTATTTTGAACCAATAATGAGGTACACTGCTATAGATTCTCTAGGATCTATCATCAAAAGTAGTATACTGTCTAAAGTATAATTGTATCTCTCTCTGAGTAAAACTTACTGATGGAATTTCTCAAATGATATATTCTGTTATGTTCTGGACTTATATGGAATAAGAATATTAGAAAAGTATGTTTGTGGTATGTTTAGGTATCTTCTATAAAATTCTACTTGAAAGCATTTTCTGTTGTTTCACTCAAAGTCCCTTATATTACGAGCTGCCAGTCAGTTCCCCTTGAATTTCATGATAGGATAAACTTTGTCTTGTTTTAGAGGAAAAGTTGTCTTATTGGATAAGAGGATCAATACAAATTCTATACGTTTTTGTCTTCGTTGTCCTGATGTTCAGAACTAATTTGGCACTCAGCTACGGTAATACATCCCAGCTATCAGGCATAATCATTTGCCTGTTCTTTTTTGTAGTGACTGATTAATTGATTATGCTGCCTCAGATTCTTTCAGAAATATAAATTATACATAGGTAAAAACTTAAATACTCCTAACCTCTCATTATGGAAGACTATTATGTTTTAGCTTGTTGCTATTGAAAAGAAATTTGCCAAAAATATTGCCTTTATGCAACATGTTTCTAACTCGCTTTGTACCCTTTTGTTTACATTTAGCTTCATCAAACAGAATTATTGAAAGGATATTCTCTGGGGCAGTAACAAGGTAAGAAAAAGCATCTGAGTTTAAAAATGAATTACGGATGTGGAACCTGAGTGGTTCAGTGGGTTAAATAAGCCTCTGCCTTTGGCTCAGGCCATGATCTCAGGGTCCTGGGATCCAGCCCCATGTTGGGCTCCTTGCTCAGCAGGAAGCCTGCTTCTCCCTCTCCCACTCCCCCTCCTGCTCTTTCTCTTTCTCAAATAATGAACTCTTTAAGGAAAAATGAATAAATTCCAGGTAACACTTTAGCAGTCTTATTTGAGCATGGCTTCCTGCATACCGTGGCTTCATACAAGACAGTAGTGATTCTTTAATTTATGGGCATTAGTCCATTAAATACAGGTAACAGTATTGGTGATTATTTGCATTCATATTGGAAACCAGACTGCTTTCTTCTTACCTGCATATGTCTTCTGGTTTCATCCTCCAGGCCTTTGCAAACAATATAGGCAATGGAAGGGACACTCTTTGTTAGGTTTCCAGCCTTCTAATTTTTCTTTGACTTAATTTCCAAAGAAAGATGTTGCTTTAGGGGCGCCTGGGTGGCTCAGTGGGTTAAAACCTCTGCCTTCAGCTTAGGTCATGATCCCAGGGTCCTGGGATCAAGCCCCACATCAGGCTCTCTGCTCAGCAGGGAGCCTGCTTCCCCCTCTCTCGCTGCCTGCCTTTCTGCCCACTTGTGATCTCTGTCTGTCAAATAAATAAAATCATTAAAAAAAAAAAGATGTTGCTTTATTTCTTAGTCTGTCATCCTACTAAATTTATCTGAATGATTGCTTAGGAAACTTTATAACCATGTGTTTTCTTCAGGGGAAAAACAGTACAGAAAGAGGGAAGAATGAGCTATGCAGACTTTGTTTGGTTTTTGATCTCTGAGGAGGACAAAAGGAACCCAACCAGGTATGACTTTTTTTTTTTAACTTAAAATCAATTAATTAACTTGCAGTGTATTATTAGTTTCAGAGGTAGAGTTTAGTGATTCAAGCTGGTATGACTTCTAAGTTTCCTTTGCCAGGAATGTCAAACACTTGAACAAAGCTTAAAAAAGTCATGATGTATACTCAGTGGATGCCATCTTGATCTAGGAGCACCAAGATGAATTAGACTTAGTGTCTGCCCTCTCAGATACAATGCATAGTCACAGCATATCAAGAGAAGTGCTTTTACCCCCAGAAACAAAGGTGAAGTGACATGTGAGCTGGCCCTAAGAGTTAAGTAGGACCAGGAAGCTTTTATATGGAATGTGGGAATATATATTAAGAGTTTCCATCTTGATGGTTCAGTAGTAAATTAGAGAGGGAAAGAAACAAATTGTGGATGACAGTTATAGACAAATTAGAATCATCTCTCCTTTCCCTTGGCACACTCAAACATACCTTGATTTGTAGTTGTAAACATACACATCTGTTTCTTGCCACTAATCTATCTCTAATTTAAGCCAAAATCTAGGTCCCTCTCTTCTTTTATTCCCAGCTTGTGTTAACATAGTACCCAGCACATAGTTTGTGCTTAGTACCAAGGGACGGAGAGGCTACAGTCCTTGGTGCTGCTTGCTAGTATAACTGCCTCAGCTGTCTGTATGTTGGGTCTAGAGGTTACCTAAATGTTGGATACATAGTTTGGAAATCAAGGAAGTAGAAATCAAACTAAGCTGGGGTGCCTGGGTGGCTCAGTGGGTTAAAGCCTCTGCCTTCGGCTCAGGTCATGGTCCCAGGGTCCTGGGATCAAGCCCCACATCGGGCTCTCTGCTCAGCGGGGAGCCTGCTTCCTCCTCTCTCTCTGCCTGCCTCTCTGCCTACTTGTGATCTCTGTCTGTCAAATAAATAAATAAAAAATCTTAAAAAAAAAAAGAGGGACGCCTGGGTGGCTCAGTTGGTTGGACGACTGCCTTCGGCTCAGGTCATGATCCCGGGACCAAGTCCCACATTGGGCTCCCAGCTCCATGGGGAGTCTGCTTCTCCCTCTGACCTTCTCCTCGCTCATGTTCTCTCTCACTGTCTCTCTCTCAAATAAATAAATAAAATCTTTAAAAAAAAAAAAAGAAAACTAAGCTATTTCTTGGCAGCCTATTAGATTATTTTTAAATAGCTTTGTTTTCCATTTCAAAGAATAATTTTTTGTCCATTATAGACAATTTAGAAAACATGGATAAGCAGAGGAAAATAAATTTTAATACTAATAATTCTAACACGCAGAATAAGAGACTATTAAAAGTTAGTGTATATTGTATAGTCTCTTTTATTATATATTTTTACATACTTTTTAGATATTTAGATTAGTTCCATTGGATTAAGTGTTAATTACCATACACTCCCAAATTTTTATGGAATGCTTTCCAAAACAATAGTTATAGCTAAATGGTTGTGACATCCACTACTTTTTTCACTAACATAAATTCCCCAAAATGGAATTGTTAAGTTAAAAGGGTATAGACATTTTTAAGGGCACTTATAAAAATTATTAAGTTGCTCCTTAGAAAAAGTGTATAATTTTATACTTTTATCAACAAGGTACTGAGCATATTTCCTATAACCCTTACTAACACAGGATGTTTTCCTCTTAAAAATATTTTCCAATTTGAAAAATAAAAAATTTAATATTATTTTATTTTGCATTTGATTACTAATGAGGCTGAATTTTTTTTCATATGTATTTAGTCAGTTCTATTTCATTTTAGGCAACTTCCTTTTCAAGTCTTTTGCTCATTTCTGCTGGATTAGTTTTTTTAAATTTATTGTTTTATCACACATACACATTAAGTATTTTAAAATACAAAATACATTCAAAACCTTAATATAAAATTTATTCATAATTCCATGACCCATATTTAACATTGGTATGTATCCTTTCACTATTCCCTCCCTTTCCCTCTCTATCCCCTCTCTCTCCTCCTCCTTTTCCTCCTCCTTCACTCTTTCTTCCTGCACCAAAAGATATACTATGCTAAATGCTATCATACTATATAGATTTGTAACATACTTTTTCACATAACAGTGTATTTCCATGACAATAAGTATGCATCCTTATTTTTTTTGTTTTTTTTTTTAATTTTTTATTTTTTTATAAACATATAATGTATTTTTATCCCCAGGGGTACAGGTCTGTGAATCGCCAGGTTTACACACTTCACAGCACTCACCATAGCACATACCCTCCCCAATGTCCATAACCCCTCCCCCCTCTCCCAACCCCCCTCCCCTCAGCAACCCTCAGTTTCTTTTGTGAGATTGAGAGTCACTTATGGTTTGTCTCCCTCCCAATCCCATCTTGTTTCATTTATTCTTCTCCTACTCCCTTAACCCCCCATGTTGCATCTCCACTTCCTCATATCAGGGAGATCATATGATAGTTGTCTTTCTCCGATTGACTTATTTCGCTAAGCATGATACCCTCTAGTTCCATCCACGTCATCGCAAATGGCAAGATTTCATTTCTTTTGATGGCTGCATAGTATTCCATTGTGTATATATACCACATCTTTTTTATCCATTCATCTGTTGATGGACATCTAGGTTCTTTCCATAGTTTGGCTATTGTAGACATTGCTGCTATAGACATTCGGGTGCACGTGCCTCTTCGGATCACTACGTTTGTATCTTTAGGGTAAATACCCAGCAGTGCAATTGCTGGGTCATAGGGTAGTTCTATTTTCAACATTTTGAGGAACCTCCATGCTGTTTTCCAGAGTGGTTGCACCAGCTTGCATTCCCACCAACAGTATAGGAGGGTTCCCCTTTCTCCGCATCCTCGCCAGCATCTGTCATTTCCTGACTTGTTAATTTTAGCCATTCTGACTGCTGTGAGGTGATATCTCATTGTGGTTTTGATTTGTATTTCCTTGATGCCGAGTGATGTGGAGCACTTTTTCACGTGTCTGTTGGCCATCTGGATGTCTTCTTTGCAGAAATGTCTGTTCATGTCTTCTGCCCATTTCTTGATTGGATTCTTTATTCTTTGGGTGTTGAGTTTGCTAAGTTCTTTATAGATTTTGGACACTAGCCCTTTATCTGATATGTGGTTTGCAAATATCTTCTCCCATTCTGTCAGTTGTCTTTTGGTTTTGTTAACTCTTTCCTTTGCTGTACAAAAGCTTTTGATCTTGATGAAATCCCAATAGTTCATTTTTTTGCTTGCTTCCCTTGCCTTTGGCGATGTTCCTAGGAAGATGTTGCTGCAGCTGAGGTCGAAGAGGTTGCTGCCTGTGTTCTCCTCAAGGATTTTGATGGATTCCTTTCTCACATTGAGATCCTTCATCCATTTTGAGTCTATTTTCGTGTGTGGTGTAAGGAAATGGTCCAATTTCATTTTTCTGCATGTGGCTGTCCAATTTTCCCAACACCATTTATTGAAGAGGTTGTCTTTTTTCCATTGGACATTCTTTCCTGCTTTGTCAAAAATTAGTTGACCATAGAGTTGAGGGTCTATTTCTGGGCTCTCTATTCTGTTCCATTGATCTATGTGTCTCTTTTTGTGCCAGTTCCATGCTGTCTTGATGATGACAGCTTTGTAATAGAGCTTAAAGTCCGGAATTGTGATGCCACCAACTTTGGCTTTCTTTCTCAATATTCCTTTGGCTATTCGAGGTCTTTTCTGGTTCCATATAAATTTTAGGATTATTTGTTCAATTTCTTTGAAAAAAATGGATGGATAGGAATTGCATTAAATGTGTAGATTGCTTTAGGTAGCATAGACATTTTCACAATATTTGTTCTTCCAATCCAGGAGCATGGAACATTTTTCCATTTCTTTATGTCTTCCTCAATTTCTTTCATGAGTACTTTATAATATAGATTCTTAGCCTCTTTGGTTAGGTTTATTCCTAGGTATCTTAGAGTTGTGGTTGCAATTGTAAATGGGATTGACTCCTTAATTTCTCTTTCTTCTGTCTTGTTGTTGGTGTAGAGAAATGCAACTGATTTCTGTGTATTGATTTTATATCCTGACACTTTACTGAATTCCTGTACAAGTTCTAGCAGTTTTGGAGTGGAGTCTTTTGGGTTTTCCACATATAGTATCATATCATCTGCAAAGAGTGATAGTTTGACTTCTTCTTTTCCGATTTGGATGCCTTTAATTTCCTTTTGTTGTCTGATTACTGAGGCTAGGACTTCTAGTACTATGTTGAATAGCAGTGGTGATAACGGACATCCCTGCCGTGTTCCTGACCTTAGCGGAAAAGCTTTCAGTTTTTCTCCATTGAGAATGATATTTGCGGTGGGTTTTTCATAGATGGCTTTGATAATATTGAGGTATGTGCCCTCTATCCCTACACTTTGAAGAGTTTTGATCAGGAAGGGATGCTGTACTTTGTCAAATGCTTTTTCAGCATCTATTGAGAGTATCATATGATTCTTGTCCTTTCTTTTATTAATGTGTTGTATCACATTGATTGATTTGCGGATGTTGAACCAACCTTGCAGCCCTGGAATAAATCCCCCTTGGTCGTGGTGAATAATCCTTTTAATGTACTGTTGAATCCTATTGGCTAGTATTTTGGTGAGAATTTTCGCATCTGTGTTCATCAAGGATATTGGTCTGTAGTTCTCTTTTTTGATGGGATCCTTGTCTGGTTTTGGGATCAAGGTGATGCTGGCCTCATAAAATGAGTTTGGAAGTTTTCCTTCCATTTCTATTTTTTGGAACAGTTTCAGGAGAATAGGAATTAGTTCTTTAAATGTTTGGTAGAATTCCCCTGGGAAGCCATCTGGCCCTGGGCTTTTGTTTGTTTGGAGATTTTTGATGACTGTTTAAATCTCCTTACTGGTTATGGGTCTGTTCAGGCTTTCTATTTCTTCCTGGTTCAGTTGTGGTAGTTTATATGTCTCTAGGAATGCATCCATTTCTTCCAGATTGTCAAATTTGTTGGCGTAGAGTTGCTCATAGTATGTTCTTATAATTGT